AAAACCCATAAGGATGCAACTCACTTTCCCTAATTCTTAGTGCAGCATCTGTTCCTACTCACTATTTCCGTCTTTCACGTTGCATCATCCACCTCACCGTCACTTCTCAATGTTCCAGTCACACCTGGATGGCCAGTTACATTCATCGTACCATCATTAAATCATCCCACTGAACTGTTTCTAAACCCAGTCTCAGGTAATTGCGAAATTTCATTCAGTAATTCATTAAAGTAGTTGTGCGACTTATTAACAAACTCTTCAGCGATTCTCTTCACCTGTTGTAGCAAGTTACTGAGGACTGTGTGTGTGTGTGTGTGTGTGTGTTGTGTGATGTTGTGGTGTGTGTGTGTGTGTGTGTGTGTGTGTATGTGTGTATGTATATGTGTGTGTATATGTGTGTATATGTGTGTGTGTGTGTACTCACCTATTTGTACTCACCTATTTGTGGTTGCAGGGGTCGAGTCACAGCTCCTGGCCCCGCCTCTTCGCTGATTGCTACTAGGTTCTCTCTCTCCCTGCCCCATGAGCTCTATCATACCTCGCCTTAAAACTATGTATGGTTCCTGCCTCCACTACATCACTTTCTAGACTATTCCACGGCTTGACTACTCTATGACTGAAGAAATACTTCCTAACATCCCTTTGATTCATCAGAGTCTTCAACTTCCAATTGTGACCTCTTGTGTCTGTGTCCCATCTCTGGAACATCCCGTCTTTGTCCACCTCGTCTATTCCGCGCAGTATTTTATATGTCGTTATCATGTCTCCCCTGACCCTCCTGTCCTCCAGTGTCGTCAGGCCGATTTCCCTCAACCTTTCTTCATAGGACAATCCCCGTAGCTCTGGGACTAGTCTTGTTGCAAACCTTTGCACTTTCTCTAATTTCTTGACGTGCTTGACTAGATGTGGATTCCAAACTGGTGCTGCATACTCCAGTATGGCCTGACGTAGATGGTATACAGAGTCTTAAACGAATCCTTATTGAGGTATCGGAACGCTATCCGTAGGTTTGCCAGGCGCCCTTATGCTGCAGCAGTTATCTGATTGATGTGCGCCTCAGGAGATATGCTCGGTGTTATACTCACCCCCAGATCTTTTTCCTTGAGTGAGGTTTGCAGTCTTTGGCCATCTAAACTATATTGTGTCTGCGGTCTTCTTTGCCCTTCCCCAATCTTCATGACTTTGCATTTGCAGGGTTAAATTCAAGGAGCCAGTTGCTGGACCAGGCTTGTAGCCTGTCCAGGTCTCTTTGTAGTCCTGCCTGATCCTCGTCCGATTTGATTCTTCTCATTAACTTCGCATCATCTGCAAACAAGGACACTTCTGAGTCTATCCCCTTTCCGTTATGTCGTTCACATATACCAAGAACAGCACAGGTCCTAGGACTGACCCCTGTGGAACCCCGCTTGTCACAGGCGCCCACTCTGACACCTCGTCGCGTACCATGACTCGTTGTTGCCTCCCTGTCAGATATTCTCTGATCCATTGCAGTGCCTTTCCTGTTATGTGTGCCTGGTCCTCTAGCTTTTGCAGTAACCTCTTGTGAGGAACTGTGTCGAAGGCCTTCTTGCAGTCCAAAAATATGCAGTCGATCCATCCCTCTCTCTCTTGTCTTACTTCTGTCACCATGTCATAAAACTCTAGTATGTTTGTGACACAGGATTTTCCTTCCCTGAAACCGTGCTGGTTGTCAATTATACACTTGTTTCTTTCCAGGTGCCCCACCACTCTCCTCCTGATGATCTTCTCCATGACCTTGCATACTATACACGTTAGTGATACAGGTCTGTAGTTTAGTGCCTCATGTCTGTCTCCCTTTTTAAAAATTGGGACTACATTTGCCATTTGCCATACCTCAGGGAGTTGCCCAGTTTCAAATGATGTGTTGAAGATCTTTGTTAAGGCTCACACAATATCTCTGCTCCCTCTTTAAGGACCCATGGAGAGATGTTGTCTGGTCCCACCGCCTTTGAGGTGTCAAGTTCGCATAGCAGCTTCTTCACCTCCTCCTTGGTTATATGTACCTATCCAGCACTTGCTGGTGTGCCCCCCTGTCTGATTTCCCTGGAGTCCTACTGGTTTCCACTGTAAATACCTCTTTAAATCTAGTGTTGGGGCTCCTGACAAACCTCTCGGTCGTTTCTTGTGAATTCCCCATCACCCTTCCTCAGTCTTATTACCTGGTCCTTGACTGTTGTTTTCCTCCTGATGTGGCTGTACAACAGCTTTGGGTCAGTCTTTACTTTTGATGCTATGTCATTTTCATATTGTCTCTGAGCCTCCATTCTTATCTGTGCATATTCGTTTCTGGCTCTTCGGCTGATTTCTTTATTTTCCTGAGTTCTGTCTTCTGTACCTTTTCCATTCTTTAGTACACCTAGTTTTTGCCTCCCTACACCTTTGGGTGAACCAAGGACTCGTTATGTTCTTCCCATTATTTCTGTTTCCCTTGGGAACAAACCTCTCCTTCTGCCTCCTTGCATTTTGTTGCTACATAGTCCATCATTTCTTGTACTGGTTTTCCTGTCAGTTTCCTCTCCCACTGAATGTCTTGAAGGAAGTTCCTCATGCCTAAGTAGTTCCCCCTTTTGTAGTTTGGTTTTTCCCAGCCTATTCCTGCTACTCTCTCCACTTGGAGCTCAACTATGTAGTCGAAGCACAGAACCACATGATCACTAGCTCCCAGGGGCCTTTCATACATGATACCCTCGATGTCCGAACTACTCATGGTGAATACAAGGTCCAACCTTGCTGGTTCATCCTCTCCTCTCTCTCTGGTAGTGTCTCTAACATGTTGATGCATGAGAGTTTTCCAGTACCACATCCATCATCTTGGCCTCCATGTTTCGGGACCCCCATGGGGCTCCAGGTTTTCCCAGTCAATCTCCTTGTGAATGAAATCACCCATAACTAGTAACTTTGCTCCCCCCATGTGTGCTCTCCTGGCCACCTCGGCTAGTGTGTCGACATTGCTCTGTTGCTCTCATCGTATTCTTCTCTTGGCCTCCTGCAGTTCTGTGGTGGGTTGTACATTACTGCAATTATCACCTTATGTCCCTCAGACTGGATTGTTCCTTCTAAGTAGTCCCTTTCGCCCGTGCCATCCATTCCTTCCATTTTCTCAAAACCCCACTGGTTTTTAATGAGCAGTGCAACTCCTTCCCCTCTCCTCCCTCTGTCTTTCCTGAGGATTTGATATCCGGATGGAAAGATTGAATCTGTTATTATTCTGGTGAGTTTTGTTTCTGTGAGTGCTATTATGTCTGGGGATGTCTCTGATTCTTTCGTGCCACTCCTCATACTTGTTTGTTATTCCATCTGCATTTGTATACCACACCTTCAACTTCTTTTCTATGTATGTTGTGATATGTGTGTGTGTACTCACCTAGTTGAGGTTGCGGGGATCGAGTCCGAGCTCCTGTGTATATATGTGTGTGTGTGTATATGTGTGTGTGTGTGTGTGTATATATGTGTGTGTATATGTGTGTGTATATGTGTGTGTTGTGTATGTGTGTGTATATTGTGTGTGTTGTTATGTGTGTGTGTGTGTATGTATGTGTGTGTGTTGCGTGTGTATGTGTGTTATATGTGTGTGTGTGTATATATGTGTGTGTGTGTGTATATGATGTGTGTGTGTATATGTGTGTGTGTGTGTATATTATGTGTGTGTGTATATGTGTTGTATATATTTGTGTGTATATGTGTGTGTGTGTGTATATAGTTGGCGCTTTAGTGTGTTGTGGCCTTATTGTGTGTGTATATATGTGTGTGTATATGTGTTGTATATATGTGTGGTGTGTGTATGCTGTTGTGTTGATATGGGGTCAGTGATAGTGTGGTACTATTGCTGTGTGTGTGTATGTGTGTATGTGTGGTGTGTGTATATGTGTGTGTATATTGTGTGTGTGTATATGTGTGTGTATATGTGTGTGTGTGTATATGTGTGTGTGTATATATATGTGCGTGTGTGTACTCGCCTAGTTGTGGTTGCAGGGGTCGAGTCATAGCTCCTGGCCCCGCCTCTTCACTGGTCGCTACTAGGTCACTCTCCCTGAACCATGAGCTTTATCTTACCTCTTCTTAAAGTACTATGTATGGATCCTGCCTCCACTACATCGTTTCCCAAACTGTTCCACTTCCTGACTATTCTGCGACTGAAGAAATACTTCCTAACATCCCAGTGATTCATCTGTGTGTGTGTTGTGTGTGTGTGTGTGTGTGTGTGTGTGTGTGTGTGTGTGTGGTGTGTGTGCGTTGTGGTGTTGTGTATAGAACCTGTTTCACTACAGAACAGATTACTCTGCATCATAATACGTTGCCTACTGAGATTAAAGCGTTATGAATATTTGCGATAGATACTGATTCGAACTCAAAATCCAAATTAACCTAAATGCTGTTAAAGTTTTTTAATTACAAAAATGATTTTTCACGTATTTTGATTGTGCTGAGAGTTGGTGACAGTGTAATTCATTCACAACGCTACGATCTTGCACTATCGTTGCTACGAGATTAAGTAGCGTATAATAGGAAATGCGAGTATATTGTTTCGAACTGAAAAATAATGTTTGTAAATTTTTGTAGTTACGAAAAATGTATATTTTGATGAATATTTTGAAATAACCTGAGGTCTGTGAAATGAATTTCACGAACGAAATAGGTTACGATAAAGATATATAGGAAATTAAAATTGTTCAAAAAATAATTTGTAAATAATTTCTATTTGAACACGTTACTAATAGATATATTATTGAAAAAGAACCTAAACCCGGAGGATTATACAAGCGATCTCACGAAGGGGAATGGGTAGCATAACAGCTTATCGTGATGGACTCAAAATTTCCAAAAATAATGGCCACTCATAACATCTAAGAACTCCTTGGGGTACGCTAGATAGAATTATCACTAATGTATATTTTGAAGGAAAATAGTTCCATTATTAACTATCCCTGAATTAATTATTTTAAGACAAAACAACTTGATTTAAACGGGCTTGCAATTACCCAAGTATTCCTCAGAGGCAGAGTCCTCCACTAGAGAGCACTTGAGAGCTCAGGAACGGTCACTAACAGAGTCAAAATCACAGTGTGAAGTCTCCACCAGTACTGTCGCTTCTACAGGTTGGCTAGCATCGCTTTACATCACTGGCCGAGACTACTGAACGGTCATAAGAGTCCCTTCATAACTGCCACACTAAGTCGCTTTAACTCTCATCGCCAGTCTTAGCGTTTACAGTACACTAAAATAAAAAAAAATATATGTATAATAAATAGAAGTTATATATACACAAACCATATATCAACATAAGATCTGGTGGTAAACAGTTGATATTCAGCCTTAATGACCCTCGTATAGACGGTAAACTTTAAACTCCATTAACCAAGGTACATGACAAGTATCTTGCTTAAAGTGGGATGTGATCGTAAAATATTGTAGAACATGATAACGTCTCTTCACTTTCTACCATTAACGACTATCATTATTTATTCGTAGAGAAGCGTTACACCCGTTAGGATCATACGACGCCTGGGGAACGGGAGGTAATTAGATTAAATGTAGAAAAATGGAGAAATAATTCTTTACGAGCATCAAGGTACCCTTCCTTTAAGGGCTCTTTCAAAGAACGAGGCCATTTTCACTGTTGTCAATCTATGTATCTCAATAACAGTGGAAACAATCTTGTTGCTTATCTCTAGACTGCTATCTATATTTTTTTATTTATTTTTTACGTCGAGGCATCACACTAATGGTGTCTACCATCTTTGTTCTGACGTATGCTGTGCGTGGAACTGGAAAACCTCCTCTCTGACAGTCACTGTGCATATTAGGACAGAGGAACCCATGAATAAATTGGAATAATGCATTTGCTGGCGGCATTGTTATGGGTCACGAAGGCGAGAATTGGAAAAGTGTGGCTGAAAATTCGCTATACGAATTCAGAGAATTGATTTATGTATGTACGCAGTGGTTATTGACATTTCTTTACCAATTTGTGTATACCAAATTGTGGTCAGTTGTTTGTGTTCGTGGGAGAGGGATGGGGAATATTCACCAGCTCTTGGTCCCGCCTTTAGGTCGATAATGACTTGGATTATTAATTCCTCGGATTCACGAATCAGGATTATTTCATTACGTCGCTCAGTGTTGTGTGAACCAGAGTACAGGTTGGTTCATGAGCCGGGTTCTTCAGTGGTGTTTGAACCAGAGTCCCCGTGGATTTCCGAGCCTGGTTCTTCAGTGCTCTATGAACCCGAGTTCTGGGGAAATCCTGAAGCCGGGTTGGTTTCGCTGTGTCACTCTGTGCAACATGAAGCTGCGAACGACGTCCCGGGAGGCTTTATTAACTAGGTTGTTGTGAATGTTGTTCCTGAGATTGTTGTTGATGTGATTGTTGCTGTGATTGTTGTTGTTGTGACTTGTTGGTGTGATTGTTGTTGTGACTTGTTGCTGAGATTGTTGTTGTGATTGTTGTTGTTGTGACGTGTAGCTGTGATTATTGTTGCTGTGATTGTTGTTGTTGTGACTTGTTGCTGAGATTGTTGTAGCTGTGATTGTTGTTGATGTGATTGTTGCTGTGACTTGTTGCTGAGATTGTTGTAGCTGTGATTGTTGTTATTGTGACTGCTATTGAGGTCGTTTGGTTGCTGCTGTGGTTGTTCATGTTGATACTGGAATATCTCCTTTTGTTAAATTTCTAATAAATGCAGGAAAATCTTTTATTATTACGTCTGAGGGAAAAATGGACATCACCTCGCTATTGTAGTCGTGAATATAACATATTAATATTTTTATTCATGGGAAAGAGCCTGGGAATAGAAGGTAATTAAGTTTGATCCAAAGAGGCGGAACGGAACCCTATGTTTCATGTTCTTTTCAGCTGTTACTATCAGTTACATCGTGATCGTATCTCCCTCATTCTACGAATTTAGTGAAAATAAGGCATGCACTCTGGATGCCGGTCTGAGGCTATCATCGGGAACTTTACTCCCTAAAACAGTTTAAAATCTGTGAAGAGTGTCTAGGAAACTTACGAAAGACGAAGAACGACGTTTAAAGATTTCTGGCTCAGAAAGAGCAATGAACTGTCAATTTTAGGGGAAATTTCAGACATTTCTTTAACGTTCTTAGCATATATATATATATATATATTATATATATATATATTATATATATATATATATATATATATATATATATAACACACAAAACAACCACTGTGAAAGAATAATGAAATTCCAAGCGCTTTCGTGGCTACTCACATTATCATTGTTCCTTGATAATGTGAGTAGTCACGAAAGCGCTTGGAATTTCATTATTCTTTCACAGTGGTTGTTTGACATATTCTGAAATCACCTGTTTACTGTGATCTTATTGACCACCAACACACACACCACACACACACACACACACACACACACACACACACCACACACAACAACACACACATAACATATATATATATATATATATATATATATATATATATATATATATATATATATTAATGTTTCTCAGCTTCTAAAAGAGTATGTACAAGAAGTTTCTCAGCTTGTGAGAAAGTATAGAAGGTTTCTCAGCGACTTGAACTCCCTCGCGCTATGGGTGGAGGCGTCTCGGTAATTTATAGATGAAAGGAATGCTTATTGCTGGAAAGTTTTGTAGTGAGTGAATCCTAAGATAGAATTAGAGGACGCGAGCCGAGGCTGAATAGAAGAGTGGCTTTGCCTGATAAATTGAAGGGGGAGAGAGAGAGAGACAGAGTGGTAAAAACTTGTATTTAATAACAATAAACACACCGAATCTCGGAGTAACATATAAATAAATAATAATAACATAAGAAAGGAGGAACACTGCAACAGGCCTACTGGCCTATGCGAGGCAGCTCCAATTCTCGTACCGGCTTAAGTCAATGCCTTGACCTAGTGAGGTCAGACACGTCACTTAAGGAGGAGCAATGCATCCGACCTAGTAGCACAAGCTAGTCAGGTCTAACTCACACCCACCCACATCCACTCATGCATTTATCCAACCTATTTTTAAAACTACACAACGTCTTAGCGTCTATGACAGTACTCGAGAGATTGTTCCACTCATCTACAACTCTTTTTTCAAACCAGTGCTTTCCTATATCCTTCCTGAGTCTGAATTTTTCCAATTTAAAGCCATTGCTGCGAGTCCTGTCATGTTAAATATTTCTAGCACGCTATTTACATCCCTTTATTAATTCCTATTTTCCATTTATACACCTCAATCATATCCCCCTAATTCTACGCCTTTCTAGAGAGTGCAGGTTCAGGGACCTCAGTCTATCCTCATAGGGAAGATTTCTGATAAGGTGAATAAAATGCAAATAAAGAAAAGAACGAGGGAATGAGTATGTAAATACGACACATTTTTTCAGAACGCATTGACCGAAAAAAAATGCCTAGCAAATACCTTCCAAATTTAACTGTGATCTTCCCAGGACAGACCACAAACTGTTACGCCACAATGCGGGAAGAAACAGCAACTTGACTTCCATCAAGCAAATTACCCCCAGCGCCATACTAAACACAAAGCCTCGACAAAAGGCATATTGGTCGCCTCATTCGCACAAAGTGAAAGAAGACATGGGGTCGCGTGCTGGCAGGTCGTGTGGCCAGCTCGTGGGGACAAACTACACGAGGTCACAACACTGTGACTCTCCCACTTTATTTACTATTTCCAGAGGCCAGTTTAAAGTCTTTTCTCAGTCCTCTGCCTCTCGAAGTCTGAAACCTTTGTGCCCCTACACAACTAGATCTCCACAGCTATATTCGCTCGTGTATACACGCTACTTGTTCTCCATAGTAACTGGAATTTGATTGGACTGCAGAACAAGGGAGCAATAATGAGATAACACTGCAGTACGCTTATTAGCCCATGCTAGGCAGGTCTACCCCCTCAAGGGAGGTTCCTTGACGCTGGTGAGGGGTTCTTGATCTAAGGAATTGGGTCTGTGCTCCAGTTTCCTGAATTGATCCTGAATCCCTTCCATTCCCCCCCCCACAGGCCTTGTATAATCCCTATGGTTTAGCGCTCCTCCATGATAATAATAGGCAGGTATAACTCGCATCCACTCACATACCCATCCAACCTATATTTAAAGTAACTTCAGTGATGGAGAAGTGTCATAAAATAACGACCCATTGGAGACATACAGTATAATGACGTTTCGCCCACGCAGTGATCAAGTCACAAATAGATCTGTTTGTGATCTGATAACCCCACTGCGTGGGTCATACGTTCTCAATACAACGCATTATGCTGAAATTGTGCCATTTCACCAATTTAGTGGACTGGTGAGGGTCGCATCCTGGGACACTGACCTAATTTGCCCGAAATGCTCAGCATAACATAGTATATCATTGATGTCAGCTAGGCCTGCATACCATGTACATGTACTTGTAATAAATAAATATTATATATCATTATAACTTCAGAGAACAGAAAATTAACTCGCATCACCTCATAGGCCACACTAAAGTCTCAAAATAACTTGGCTCCTATAGAGTAGTGATTTAGTACATCAGTCAAATTAGTCTCAAAACAACAACTTGGGTATCATATAGTATATCCTCTAGCGTAGTGATGTGGTATAACCTTCACACACACACACACACACACATACACACACATAGCAGGGAGAGAGTGGACCTAGTGGTGAGTAGCGAAGAGGCGGGGCTAGGAGCTATGAATCGACCCCTGCAACCACATATAGGTGAGTACACACACACACACACACACACACACACACACACACACACACACACACACACATACACACACACACACACACACATACACACACATACACACACACACACGCGCGCGCACACACACGGGGGGGGTTTGCACAGGGACATTTTTAATTAAGATTGACAATACCATGATGACACCGAGCGTAATTAGCTGAAGCCATATAATGATCTCCGGGGAAAATAAAGCGAGGTCATAAAGTAAATGAAGTGAGGAAATGCAGTGATAAATAAAGTTAATGCAGTAATAAAATAAGGTAAGAAACGTATTTTAATGTGCTAGGTTTAAAGACTATTGACTATCAGTGGGTCAATAAGGTTGCAATTCCC